TTATGAAGCTTTAAAGGGACTGTAAGCGTAATTTCAAGTGACGTCTTCATTCAAAAATGGCAATGTCTGATTTACAAACATTGATATCTAAATCATGCTTGATCAGACAAAGCTTAAATCGGACATTGCCATCTGTACATAGAGAGTGTCACTGTAAATTACGCTTACCGTCCCTTTTTAGCGTGTGACGTTTATTGTGTATTTGAATTTTTCCATTAAATTATGCAGTTAGAAGATTCCTGGGAAACCCGGTGAACCATTCAGTATATTCACAGGTCTATAACATTGGGGANGAAATATAGATAAATAGATAGAGAGACAAATAGATAGATAGATAGAAAAGGATGGATAGATAGATGGAGAAAGAAAGATTAATAGAGAAATATAGATAGATATATTAACAAATATAGATAGATAGATAGAGAAATATAGATAGATAATAGATAGAAAGGTAGATAGATGGATAGATTGATAAACCGGATGTTTGATTTAAAACTATATCCGGTCAACCAGGTAGAGACAGTTAATTAACACGAGACGAGGATTAAAGAAAGAAAGTCCTTGGTTTGTTTGTTTGTTTACAATTCTGTAAAACAAGCCACCAGGGGTGTAATACATGATTGTATTAACACTTTTAGATATTTTTTTTTTTTTGGGGGGGGGAATATTTTTTAACTGTAACATTAACATTTTTATAACTTTAAGCATGCGGTATTCGAATTTAAATTAAATTATTTTATTAACTTGATTAAAATAATTACAAAATAATTTTGTTGATAATAATATTGATAATGATAAAAATACCTTTTGCTTGGATCGAAGAGACATTCCATATCTTATCTTTTTTATTCCATTAATTCATTTTCACGTCTATCTATCTATTTATCTATCTATCACTGTTTGCACTGTAAGTGTAAGCTTACAACTGAAGTATCTGTATATTTACAATAAATACACAGGACCAACTGTTCCAAGATCTAGGGGGGGATTCATGGGAAAAGGGGGGATAATTGGTGCAAAAGTGGGAGGAGAGGGGAGGGGAGGGAAGGGGGGCAGGAATATATTTTTAGATGGATTGGAGGGTTTAATTGGAATATGAAAAACAAACACTGAAAAACTTACACGCAGTACAATGAGTTGACAAAAATAGTAATAATAAAATGTAGAATTTATTTTTTGTTTTTGTTTTGCCTCTTAAAGGGAGTGTTCGCGAAAAATGAAAGGGGTATATATACAGCCTTACGGCGAAAAATAAGCGCTTTTGATCGCTACTAATCTTACTTCTATCTGTTGCGTCTATAAGGAGTAAATTGTTAAAATTACGACTCATGTTTAAGAACGTAGCGTCCACACAAATTCGAAAGTTTTTATATAGTTAATATTTCATAATATTTCTGATTTCGTTTTTTTAAAATAATATTTCGCTGCCGGTGGATTTTAGAACATTCGTTCCTGGAAAATATGAAAATGTCGTCGTTATTATTATCAAAAATCCTCGAAACAGGGATAAATGTTTTCAAAAGTAACATTCAGATCATAAAAAAAAAATAAAATATATTATGAAATATCAACGATATTGTCGATTTTCTCCTTATAGACGCAACAAATAGAAGTATAAGCCCTCTTCATTTTTCGAGAACACTCTCTTTAAGTGAAGAGACGAGGGAATCATTCTTGCACTTTGACAAATTGATATTTTTTTCTCTCCCTTTTTTTTTGGGGGGGGGGGAGGGAAATCAAAAACAAAAGGTTTTGCAATCTTGTTTGCATTTATTGTTTAAAAATCAGAACTATAGATATTCAGAGGTCGGAACTTTAGTGTGAACCCTTGATTTCGATATATAATGTGGTCACTTTTAAATTTGAGGAATAAGATGTAGATCATTCCGAGATTCACATAAACGAACGTTCTGACTTAAAGGGAGTGTTCGTAAAAAATGAAAAAAGGTATAGGCTTACGTCGAAAAATATTTGGTGGGGGATTGCTAATCTTACTTCAATCTGTTGTGTCTATAAGGAGAAAAACGTAGCGTCCATGACCATACAAATTCAGAAAGTTGCAATATTCAACTCGGATCGTAAAAAATCAATTTAATTCCAAACAAATTATTCAGATATTAAAACCTATAGCCATCGATTTTTTTTCGCCGCATTCGTATATTGTTTATATTTCATAATATTTTTTATTTGTTTTATATGTTAACATTTTCATCATTTGAAAAACGTTATGAAAACGACGACGAAAAATCGAAAACGAAACGATCGTTTTTAAAAACAATCGTTTTTTAAAAACCGGTCGCAAATCGTTTTTTTAAAAACGATCGTTTTCAAAAACGATCGTTATTCGTTTTCTAAATGTTCAAAACGAGTGGGTCGTTTTTAAAAACGATAGTTTTTTTTCCGATAACTAAACGATCGTTTTTGAAAACGATTGAAAAACGAAACAAAAAACGATCGTTTAACGATCGTTTTCTAAAACGATTAACAACACAATGCACTTAAAACGTACTTTTAACAGCAAAACAAAACAAAAAATAAATGCATGAAAAAAATCATTCAATTATTTTTTAATATGCTTTTCTGGAACTCTACACGGAGAAACCCCCATTGTTCATTAATGTACAAAATGTAAAAATGTAAAATAATCAATCTTTAAAATCAGCGTAATCAATGGTTTCTACGAGTTTTAATAAAAGCAAATATTTTTGTACACACAATTTAGCAGATACACTTATTAAATTTTGTTTAGCCTCTATAGTTTTTAAATGCAAAAAACTAAAAAATGTTTTAAAAAAGTATAAAAAATAATAAACATGACGCACCACGCGAAGAACATGACAGTCGCAAGACGACTTGAAGGTCGTCTTAGATCTTGGAAGTTATTAGTGACATTCAGTCGTCAACCTGATTTAACATGTAGGATTCTAAAAACGATATTTTCCTAGTCCTGGCATTTCTAAAATGTTGTCTACCTTTTTGTGCAGTCAATATTCACAGAGATATTAAGAATTTCGCTCAGATTTCAATTTTGTTAAATAAATCTAAAATTGTCGAAATCTGACAACATTTTGGAAATAACAGGACTCTATTTTGTGATTATTAAATCTATAATTTAAACCTTTTATCATGTTCAAAGACGATATTCGAGAGAAAAAAACATTAAGGTAGTCGTTAATTTTAAAGGTAAGAACAAAACGTTTGTTTTGTTAACAGTATTTTTCTTTTTTAAGTTACTGTTAGTTTACGATCTGAATTCTATTAACGGCATTAACGTTTTGATTTTTCAATATACGGCATTAGGCATGGAGAGATCGTTAACAGTTCATTAACTTGGATTAACGTCACAGGCTGTTACCAAATTGCAAACAAATCTTTCCATCATATAAATAAGGGAAGACTGAAGACGACATTAAAAAACATCAAAATACATTTCACAGTTTTTTCTTTTTTTTTTGCAAGTTTCAAGCAATTTAAAATTTGTTTTTCAATAGCGGCTAATCCGTTTTCATTAAATGTCATATATGATGACATGTTTGTGCTTTTCTTAAAATCATGATTATTAGATTGGGTTTCTTTTTCCCAATCGGTGGTAACTCTGGTATCGTGACTTCGCCCTAAATAGAACCCGTGATTCTGATTTAACGTAATTTCAAGTGACCTGTCATACAAAAAGTTTATTGTTTACTGCGGTACCCATTAGATTTATTATGTGGAAGAAATTGTTGTTTTTTCTAGCTTGAAATTTGTTTAGTTCTGGCAATTTTCTCCATTGTTTTTGGAACAAAATATCTTCATTTCACTTTAACTGAGAAGACTCATTGAAAATGATATATTTTCAAAATTATATTGCATGGACTTATCATTCAATTATATTACATGGACTTATCATTCAATTTTGATCAGACAAAGCTTTTCAGTGTACTGTTGTATATCGGACATATCACTTTGTAAATAGATGATAAATAATCATAATGTTTGCACCATACATATATGATTTTACAATTGATGCTAGTGCCAGCTTTATATTTCAGCAAGCTATAAATGATTAATTCTCTCACATATTTTCCACACTGAATTATTTCCTTTAAAATTGACCAAATTAATACATTAGTACACTGTCAGAGTACATTCTTATATCTTGTTTAACCAAAACCTCTCTAAATTACTTAAATTATTAAGAGAATGTTAGAAATATGTTATAAAGTTCGATGTTCGAAGTGAAAATAAAAAAAATTATCAAACGGACTGTACAAACGGACTGTACAAACGGACTGTACAAACGGTTTCAGCTTTGACACTCTATGCAAAGAGACCGATTTACAACGGTACCCTTAAACCTTAATCTGGAAAATATTGTTGTTTTTCTAGGTTTAAAATTATTTTAGTCGGATAACTGTTTTCCTGTCGTAGATATAAAGAAACCATAATTGAAAATAATCAGTTTAAAAAATTATAAACTTACAACGCTGTTGTAGATCAAACATTGTCATGTTTCCATGGAAGGTCATATAAAAATCACTCTTAAAGGCAAGCAAACACAATATTTTGTAACTACCCATAATAACTCCCAGAAAAAAATCTAAATGTATGAATTTCAAGGGTTGGTTCAATCGACAAATCTTACAAATTAACTTTATAATTTTTTTAAACTGTTGAAGTTTTTTTGTATATGATTATTATTAATTGATCATTTCTCTAAAGGACTGTGGACATAATTTCAAGTAATTCTACGTGTAAAGAGTGTCATGACCGATTCACAATGGTACCCTACAAACCTAGCTATCTGAGTAACAATGAGAAAGATATCCTCGTTTTACTTTTTTTAAACTGAAATCTAAATCAGCAAGTTACTTTACCATTTTACAAACTAAAATCACGGAACCTCTCACATATTTTACTGATATAATTTTTTGAAATCTTAAAAAATGGGCATCGTTTTGAGGTTAATTTTTAAATATTACAGGGTTTTAAACATTTAAGAGGCTTCACAAGATCTATGATTAGTATGGGATTATTATATTATGCATAATTTTAACTGCTACCAATAATATCAATATCTTTACTTTGATGTTCAGAGACAACTTTTTGAATAATGAAACAAAACCAAACTTGTGGAAAATCTCATTTTTTAACAGCACTTTTTAAGCAAAAAATAATTTATAGATCATAAAAACAATAAGATTAAATAGTCGTCTCCTCATCAAATTCATCATCTTTGTCCAATAGCCTCTCATCTGCGTCTTCAGTAACCAATGTTAACTCATGGACACGGAAAGAGAATCTAAAATTAAAAGATTATTTTTAGTTGTAATAAATTGTTTAACAAACAGTTTTAGATCAAACAAAATTTGATATTAATTTTAACGATAATGTAAGATCACCTCTTCTGAACTTTTGACCTGCAAATTCGACCTACTGCAATATCTCAACTAGACTACAAACAGCTGTTTATTTTGTATTTTTTGAGTTAGGTTTGATTAAGACAATTTCAGGGCCGAGCGCTGCGGCTAGAATATGCTAGGGGGCCAAGCGCTATAGCTAAGACAGGCTACGGGGCCTGGCGCTGCGGCTGTAAAACCAGGTGCGAATAGGTCAGAAGTATAGCTTAGACGATGTGATATAGGTCAGAAGTGTAACTGAAAGTCCCCTTTGATTTCTATTATTTAATGTATGGCAAAGAAATTTTAAAAATGAGGCTGTACGTCTTACTCTTACAAGCTTTTCATAAAGTGGTCTACCTTTCTTGTGTTTTAAAATTGAATTAGATATTAAGACAATTTAGATTTACTAGGGTTTAAGGGCGCTTCGCGCACGTCTTCTATTTTATTTGTAAACATTTTCTCTTTAAATACATTGTAAAACAAAAAAAAATCAAATTTTGTTAGAATCAAGATTTTTTAAAAATCGATTATCCTTAAACCTTTCCTGGGGTTGCACCCGAGGTTCCATAAAAAATGTGTACCCGATCGGTTCAGCCGTTTTGACATTCATTGGATACAAACAAACAGACAAACAGACTGACAGACAAGCAAGTACATGTATAGAAAGATTGAATAAATTTTAAAATATCTCCGTCAATCTTGAAGATACAAAAATGGTAGACCTCATTTTATGCTGGAATACTGCAAAACTATTGTGTTCATAAAAAATTTCCACATGGATTGAAGACGATATAAAAGTTGTCACTTAATTCCCATGTTTATTAACTAATTAACTAATTATTAACTAATTAACTAATTATTAACTAATTAACTAATTATTAACTAATTAACTAATTATTAACTAATTAACTAACTATTAACTAATTAACTAATTATTAACTAATTATTAACTAATTAACTAATTATTAACTAATTAACTAATTATTAACTAATTATCTAATTATTAACAAATCATCTAATTATTAACTAATTAACTAATTATTAACTAATCATCTAATTATTAACTAATTAACTAATTATCAACAAATTAACTAATTATGAACTAATTGAAAATATTGTCTTATGTTATAAGGAATCCTCAAAATTTAAATGAATATTTTAATGTTTAATTTATGTCTTATTTGTAATATATCTAAATGATCAGTTCTGAATGTAATTGAAGGATTTACGGGTTGAGTGGTAAAATGCAATTAATAATATGGGCTCTGCGCTCTCAGCATTGCGTTTTTTCAACCATTTTCTCATTTAAGACGCTATAGAAAGAAGTAAGCGATTGAATCCAAAGATTGATTCCAAATATTAGGATTCAGCCTCTTTCCCCATTACATTATAAATAAATAAAGTGGTGTGTATTCTATCCTGAAACTAACCTATGCTTTTTCTTATGTCTTAATCCTTCTTTGCTGTATAGAAAGGAATTGTGATTGTTATCTTGAATATGAATATCTTCACAAGGAGGAGAAGGATGAATTGTAACCATGCTTTTCACTTCTGTTTCTTCATATGTTCCAGATGCTTGATTTCCATGCACCAATAAACCAGCAGAGACCTCAACAAGAAAAAATTATCCATTGACCATGATTTCAATTTTTTAGTTGTGAGATATGTTCAATTTGCGACCAGTATGGCTGCCAAGGGGGTGGAACACATCCTTGTAAATGATTGGGCCATTATGGCTGCCTTGTACATGGTTCGGCTAGTATAGCTTCCCCATGGGGTGCAAAAAATCCTTGTACATGATCTGGTCAGTATGGCTGCCAAGGGGAGGGGGGGGGGGGCAAAAAATCTTTGTAAAACAATCTAAGTTGATGAAAATTAGTGCTCTGACCTGATTCTTCATTTGTTGATCTAAATTGCCTCCATCCTCATTCATCTTCTTACAGAAAATACTGATGAGCAGATTCATTTGATCTTCGGAGATCTCTGTTGTGCTAAACTTGTCATGCAAGCTTTGCAGATTTTCCTTAGACAGCCGATATTCATTACTTTGAATTTCAAGCAACTTCTCTGCATTAAAACAATATATTTTTTAACCCGTACTAACAACCAAAACTTCCTTATTAAAGATAAAAAAAATTGAAAATAAATGCAAATTATGTAAACTTTCAAAATATTGTTTCCTGTGATATCTTCAAATTGTACTCCATATGCTAGAAACCCTTTGGAATATTCAATCAAGTGCTCTATTGGTTCAAAATTGATTTTCATGTTCATTGAAGGCAGGGAGGCTTTGTTGCCATTTGAATCATAGCAAAAATACCATAGCACAACAAGAAACATAAGGAAGCCAAGGAGTGCAAGAAAGGTGGCATACACCTTTTTATCACCTAAATTTGAAAGAAGATACCGCTGGTAAGGTTTGTCTTCCCATATCTCAGACGGTTCAAGAATGTTGAAGTAGTGAATTATAAAGGTGACAAGTATCAGGTAACCTAATTGAGTAAAAAACAGAAGGATACCCACTATTCTCTCCATCAGTTGGTGACATGTGCATTGTGCTTCCAAATTGAGACATTTGTTACACCATTCCAATTCCTTGTAATCTTTGTTCTTTAAAGGTCTTGGACAAGTTACTGGAAGAATGCTTGATGCTAAAATATGAACATATTTTTCCTCTGCAGCCATTGTGTTAAAGTTTGTGGACTTCAGGCTCTGGCTCAAAAAAATCCATTGTACTAATATAGACATACTGAAAGGGATGCACAAGTAAATGGGATAGTTTAAAAAGCTGAAACAGTAGACCATAAGCTTCAGAAGTAGAAGAGTGGTGTATAAAAAATAGAAATACATTTTTGTCCAAAATGACACATCTGTTGCTGTTGCTGTTTCATACTTGACAAATGTACGGATCATATTCAAAATTGATATGGAATTAAATACAACAATCACTTCCAAAGGGTACTTACTGTCTCGCATTAGAGTAGATAGTGTTATGAAAACTATTGAAGTTATCACAATTTGACATAATGTTTCCAATGAATTTTCTATAATACTATGATGATTGGAAACTATTTCTAACCTCAGCTTACGTTCCTTGATGTAGTTTTGTTGGACATATTTTTCAGCAGTCTTCTTCTGTTTTACATTATAACTCTCCTCATAAAGTAGTCTACTCTTTTCTGCAAAAATCCAAATTGTGGAAAACAAAGGACTAAGGAGCAAATAAAATGGCCACTCTATAATTTTGACAATCATAGTAATTATTTGATGTTTTGTTGGACTGCAGATAGGATGTATACGGTAGATGTTTCCAGACTTTTTACTAAGTAAGGAGTAAAATATTATTCCTATATAGCTGGCTCCAATTGATATTAAAATTGTGGACCATAACTGCCAAACTTCAAGATAAAATGGGGGTTTTATGACAGAATCATTTTTCTGTTCTGAGAGATACACTTCTTTTCGTCTTTTAAAATTTTCAATGTAATTTTCTTCAACAATTTTGGTGTCATAGTGATGGAGAATCACAACAAAAGCAACATCTTTCATTATGTCTACATGGTAAAAGATACACAATGTTATTTTGAAGGCAAATGAAAAAATAAATTGTACAGCTTTCCACATGACTGATTGAAGATCAGATGTGTCAGATTTAACTTCACTCTTTTCTTCAACTTCACTTTCTGAGTTTTGATCTGAAATTGTACAGTATGCTTGCAGACTCACATTTTCTTCTATTTCTACTTTCTTGTTTGCTACTTTAGAATAGTCTGTATTCTTAGCACAAGGGCTAAAACACTTTTTGCAAAACAAAATAAAATGAGAGAACCAAGAAACTTGATATGATTCAATGAAGTTTTTAGAGTTTTTATCTTTTTTAAACCTTTGGGTTTCCAAAATAGATAGAATATTGATCTTTTGCTTTTGCCCCTTTGAGAATTCTTGTAAAAGTTCAATATTTGCGTTTTTCCCTTCAGATATGAAAAACAGGAAAGGAATAACAGTTGTGATGTCTTTCACTTGCAAGGAGCTTAAGCTTAACTTTATCTTCTTAATTTGAAAATCTATAAAGTTGGTGTCTTTGTAACAGTTGTGACAAGCAGTGCAGTTTAAGGCAAGGATGAAAGTGAATATAAATACAACAGCTAGTATGCCAATTAGTATTTTATAGAAGTGAAATCTATGTTGCCCTTGACAAAGCTCAAGCCGTTCATCAGCAGTTGCAGATCCTACTTCTTTATCACAATCATCAATTCCGTCACATATGTGTGATCTGCTAAGTTCATAATCAGTTCCATTCTTCAAACAGTAAAATGTGCTTGTGTCTAAATCTATGCTGTGCACAGAAGAATGTGGCATGTTGAAAAATATGTCTGTGGAGTTTTCAATAGTTGCCTTCCGGAGCATTGCTATTGTCAGAGGAACTACCTTCAAAATCATCTTTTTGCCCAGTGTTACCTTTTTTCTTTCAATTTCTATGGTATAATTTCGACCTTTGATGCTTGATTTTTTAGCTCCTGCAATCTTGTTTTCTCCATACTCAATTTGATATGCAACCCCTTTCAATGTGCCATGATTGTTGTAGTATGGATATGAAATATTGATATTTAAGGTAATAGATAACTTTTCTGATATCTCCAAATGCTTTTTAATTGTCACAGAAAGTCTTTTTAAATCGTTTTGAGAAATGCATAGATCACTAGAATCTGAACAGTCTTTAATCCCATCACAAACATACTCTATAGGAATATATTGTTCCCCATTTTCACAGAGAAAAACACCTTTATCTTCTACTGTACCATTAACCATCACCATATCTGCAGTATTGAACTCCTCATAGAATTCCCCACTTAAAGTAATTTTATTAATATTCCGGGTATTTTCTAAGAGACTGATTGTTTTCATTTCATACAAAGGGATTATGTCCAAATAATTTGAAATCCACTTTTGACGTAAGCTAGGATTATCAATACATCTTCCAGATTGGGGTAGTTTCCACCATATTGTTTTTTTGTGATGCTTTTCATTTTCATGAGTTACTATAAACCATGCTTTTTCAGTGTAATTGTAAATTATATCATAAACATTTTTGTGAAAGGTGTCTTCATCCTCCATGCTATGATAAATATACTTTACTTGAACCAACAGGGATCCATTTTCTTGATTCTTATGAATTTTATCATCATCAACAACAACATTGTATCTTCTAATAAAAGATTTAAGATTTGTTGTATTTCTGTCTGAGGTTGGCAGAGTTTCATTTGTATTAAAAAACAAACTTTTACTGCAATTGCTGTTGCATGTTTCAAAATCCTCATCAGAATAATTAATGCAGTCTACCAAATCATCACACCAATGAACCTCAGGTATACATCTTTCACCACAATTGTGCATATTATCAGGACAGTTGATTAAACTGTTTTTTATGTTTAGAAGAGAAGCATTAAAAAGCTTGATTTGGATATCTCCAGATCTGAACTTGTAATCCATGTTTATAATACAGTTGTTACGGGATTCTTCCAAGTATTCAAAGACTATTTTGTCATTATGATATCCACCCTTTGGACCAAAAGTTATTCTAAACTTCTCCTCTTTCATTATGATTCTTTGATAAGTGAGGTGTTTTTTGGTGTTTTTTATTAACTCATAAACTCCAAGATATTTGAAATGAGTGTTGTTTCGAAAGTCTTTGATTGATGTTATTTCTATGTACTGGGGATTGCAGAAGTTTTCACAAAGCTCTCCAGAGAATGACACACTGGTGCAATTACATGTTATCCAAGGTGATCCATCATTACAAACTCCCTTGTTCAGACAGTATGTCTTACTGCTCGGACAGGAAACATGAAGATCAACATGGTATTCAACTTGGCCATAAATATTTTCTGCAATAAGTACATTATCCTCAGCAGCAGTCTTATCTATGTTTTCAAAACTTACTGTGTATGATTCACAAATGCTTGCTCCAGTATGTTTTATGTCATTTTTATGAAACCAGGTAACATTTGGACAAGGGTTGCCACTGATACTAAAAGCAAAATTCTTTCTCTCTTTATACATTATTTCAAGTTTATCAGAGTGTGTCACAATTGGCTTGTATCCAATGTCTAGATTAACTGTTCTGCTTAATTCCTGAAATAAATTAAAATCTGAGTTTGTTTAAATTTTTTTAGGATGTTGTGATTTTAAATAAGGATGGGCAGTTTTTCTTATTTTGAAAAATGTTCATTCAATAGTTTTTAAGAAGAAAAAACTAATGTTTTGAAATGTTTCCAAAACAATCGTTTTGAAAGAAATTTTTTTTTAGAAAAAAAGATAATTTTGGAATGAAATCAATGTTTTGGAAACAACAGTTTTGGAAACGATAGTTTTGGAATAAAAACGACAAATATAGCATATTTTAATGAAAAATAAAAATTTGACTCTACCTTATGATCCCCCACCCTCATCTTAGTAACAATTATTCAAAAACCTTGCTTTGAACAAGACAATTTGTTTGAATAAAATTTAAACAAAAACGATTAATTTGCTTAAGAGCTTTAGTTTTGTCCTATCATTTTTCTTCTTCAAAGGCTTAAAACTAACACTTTGTTAGTTTTAACAATTCACTTTTTCGAAAAATGAATATTAGTTAGTTTTGAAAATCCAAAATGAAACTAAAAAAGTATCGTTTTTTATTGTTTTTGAAAACAATGCCCATCCCTAGTTGTGAAGACATTTTTTTTTATCAAACAAGATAAATTTTGAACATTGTAATTAGTTTACTTAAAGAGCTTTAAATGTTACAAAAACAGAAAAATCTTTCTGATTAAAATTCCAAATGTTAATAAAAGTTCCGTATATTTAACCTCCATATCCTAAAATTGTGTTAAAGCATTTGAATAACAACCCTCTCATCTTTTGCCATTCTAATAAAATCACCAAGAAACTTTAGGATTTAAAGAAAAAGAATTTTCTTATAAATAATTCTTATAATTTTTAGTAAAAAATACTGAATTCTTTAAAAATATTTTTTGTGTTCTGCTCTTTAAAAAATTTAGATATTCCTTCTCAAGCCCCCAATCCACTTCTTACCCCAAATTTATGTTAAGTTTGTTAATTATACCCAATACATACATTTAAACAGTTCCTTTACAATCTAATCATGGTAGAATCAAATCTCAAGAAGTAATAATTGTCTTTGAACATTCTCCAAAAGAGGAATATTAGAAAATTATCTTTTTTACATACAATGATTTAAGTTTTCTTTTCATCTGACAACCATTTCCTTAAAGAAGTTTTAAACACCAAATTTTTAATGATTTGTATTTTTTCAGGGGGGGGGGGGTTCTAAACATATATCTCATACTCATTTGAAAGCTAGAACTGCCTTTATTATATTGAAAAGATTGCATTTGGTAGTTAACATTTCTAGTTGCTGTTTATAAAGAATTAATCACCTTCTTTAAAGCTTCATGCATCATCTTAAAAGTAACATTTTTGTTGTTGTATTCCTTCAACATGATGATTTGAAAAGTTACCATAACATCTGATTTATTAATATTTGAATGATTAATACCATCAAGATTCCATGTGATGTCTGTTTCTGAAGGTAAAGCTCCAGATGCCTTACATGTCCAAGTAATCGTCTTGTTTTCTAGTATTCTAGTAGTTTTTAAACCATTTTGTAGAGTGTTATCTATGTATATATCTATGACTGGTGGGGATTGAATATTAAATGACTGTGTAAAACTGCTCTCAATCCTAGCTCCACATATTGAAACATCATGGGAAAATATTATGTCATGATAATTATATTTTATTCCAGTTGTCTTATCCTGATAATTTGGGATGTTTGGTGAATTGCAAGATGAATATAAATTTATTTTTGTTTTATCTCCATAAACACAAGGCCAGGCCTTAACTTCCTGTACATTTCTTATGCCAGAAACTTCTTTAAGTGTCATGATTGAGCCTTTGGAAGTTATCAGGTCACCTTCGAATTTGGTAACATTAATTCCATTAAAAAATATTAATTCAATGTTACGTAGATGTGCAGAAGGTCTTAATTCAATTGTTAGCCTTTCTGTTGACTTCGTAGTAAAACCTCTGCAATATTTCAGTCTAAAGTCTTTATTAGAATCATAGGCATTTCCACTGTGAAAGGCAGGAAGGTCAGTTATTTCACAACAGTTTTCATTGCTGCAGATTTGCATGGTTGAACCTGCCTTTATTGTTTTTGGCTTCCATAAATGAAATACATAAAAGCTTATTGTTTGAAGTGTTACAGAAGTCTCTTCTACATGTAAGGGAGTTACATTTACTTTTTCATCATTTTTATCAAAGAAATGAAATGATTCTTCAGCCCAACTTGGAACTTGGCTAGGAACCCATCTTATAGAATTAGACTGATTATAATCCAGTACATCTTTATCAATAAATCCTGTTGGTAGGTAAATATGTAACATTCTTTTTAAAATACTAAACGTTTGATTCCCTCCTATGAGCTGTGATACAGTGCATGTAACTTCCGTTTTATCATAATCAAGATGGCTTTTTATCAGCATGTACTGTTCCATGTAGGCATATCCATAGATATCTCTCTGATATAATCCTGAGGAGACATTATTTATCTTTGAACCAACTCTGAGCATCATTTTTGTATCTTTGCCAGGTCCATAAGCTCTGCAGCCTATTTTTGTTAATCCAACTTTATATTGAAACTTTCCATCCAAAAAGTCATGGTCATCAATAAGAAGCTGAACTACTTGCTTTCCAGAAATTTCTTCAGAAGATGAATTATGTAATTTGGAAGTTAAATTATGTACTTCAGAAGTATAATTATGTACTTCGGAAGTTATATTATATACTTCAGAAGTTGAATTACCTACTTCAGAAGTTGAATGATGTACTTCAGAAGTTGAATGATGTACTTCAGAAGTTGAATTATATATTTCAGAAATTGAATTATGTACTTCAGAAGTAAAGTTATATACTTTTCCTGAAACCCATCCTTTAGAATTTTCACTTAATAACCACTTTTCATAGAAACAATGACACTTCCTATCATTTTCAGATAATGAGAAATGAGCATATCCTCTACAGGCTTCTATACACTGTAATGGTAAATCAATATTTGTGTGTTGTTTTTCTTTTTTACTCTTGTAACAAACATTGAACTCAAATAGGCCTAAAATAGATTTGTTATAATTTATTCATTATTTATCATTATATTACCCTTACCTTTTGCAGGTAGACAAGGAGGACTCATGCAAGGTCTAGAAGTTCCATTACAGCAAGTGCTACTGTATGAAATAGGACCACCATCACAGCCCAAGTCACAAGAATTTGTTTCTAAATTAATTTCTTAGGAGAATTTAAATGTCTGAGACAAACATTGGGACTAGAATGTTCTGTCAACAGGGCAAGCTGTGGACAGTAATACTTTTTGCAGGCTATGCAGAAATGTTTTTTTTTTTGAAAGATAGATTATAGGTAAAATTAATACTTATATAATATTATTTAAAATCACAATGTGTTTTAAATTATAACGCCTCATTGTAATTAAAGGAATTACAATGTAATGAGTAACAAGTATTGTCCAAAATAGTTTTTTTAATTTTAAATACCTGGATTGGCTTCAAAGAACCCATCACAGCATAAGGATCCATTTTGAAATGGGTATGGATATTCAGTTGGACATCTGCCTGTTAAAGGTCCTGATAAAAAGTTGATGTAAATAACAAAGTATTATAGACAGAACTATTTCTTAATCCACCTGAGCAGGATACAGGTCCATTCCAAGCGTCAATTGTTGGCTCTTCCTCAAACCTTTGGATGATCAAAGTAAATTAAAACAACACCCCAAGTTGAAGCGTCTTAGAAAATATGCTGATTTTAAGATTTTTTCTTTTTCAGCAAGGTTTAGATACACACTATATTAAATGTTTTATAATGAAAAGGGTTTTTATAACAATCATTTTTAAAGATCTAGTAGGATTCCTTATTCATAATCACTAAGCATAATTCTTATTCATGGTCAATTGTCATTGGTCATTTGTCAATCACTCTCTTAAAAAAAAAAACTTTAATGCTCATCTATTAATACTTTTTGCTAAGTTTTTGAGAATTTGGGGAACTACACAAAAAATATCAATTCCATCTATCTTCAAGCTCTACAGTAGCTAGCTGAAAATATTATGGTGGCAGCTCACGGTTTCATTTTAGAAGATTTTGAAAGATCTTGAGTAAAGAAGAAATTGGCAAGCAAGTTGGCATTTGTCTAAACTAAAACTATCAGGTGCTATAGCAGAAAAATCTTCCAGAGGCCAAATTTAAAGAATTTAAGTCGTGGCTTAAATCCGCCAAAACCTGGTTTAAATTGAGCGCCGGCTTAAATCTTGAAACATTTGATACAATTTTAAGTGAAATCAACCATAGTTAAGCCGCAGCTTAAATTTAAACCCCCTGCTCAAATTCTTTAAATTCAGCCTCAGGATCCATAATGAACACGCAAAATACTCACATACAATTCTGCTACACTCATCACTTGCTGCTAATTGCAAGGGAAATTGAAAATAACTGAAAGGAAACAGCTGTTACTAGCCAGGAGTTATGGACAATTCTAGTAAGAAATGCATCATTTCAGGAACACATTAGGAGACATTAGATGAGCTGTATACAGTATAGTTACGGTATAAACTATGAAAACTTTAATGATGTTTAAGAGGCTGGCAGCAGTAATTATAATAGAACCCTAACTAAAACTATTTTTTTAAAGTAATACAGTGATAACCAGAAAACTGTAGATCAAGAAGAAGACAGTAAAGTAATACTGAAGTGCATTTGATGTTGTTACAAAGCACCAAGCTTTACTAGTAAGTTATAAAATCCTTATTAGGTAAAATGGGTCTGTTTACACTGCACAATTTCTGTGTCACATGTTCATTGGACTATTCAAAGTCATAACCTGAGTCCAAAAGGTCAACTTCCTATTCCAGAGTTTTCTGGGCATCTATAACCTTGTTTTGAGTTTAATTCTCTGTTTCAGAACACTTTTTGATTAATTTTGTCATTCCTGATATATCCATCTTTATCAGAGTAATCCAGATCCTGCAGTAGTTCACACTTGTCTTTTTTCCAATTGAACCACTTGCACAGTGGAGTTCTGTAGCAAATTTCTTGACATTTTTGTGGAGAAGTAGCATTAAGATCTTTATCAGATTCAGATAATAACTTAATTCCTTTGATAAATCCATTGTCATAGCAGTCAGTAATATTGTTGTAGTAGCCTTAAAGAAAATTAAATAAAATGTTTATTAGTTAAAATTTAAAATCTCAAAAAGTATTTTTAGGCAGCCAAAATTTACAGGAAGTGAGATTTTTCACTTTTTAGTTGTAAACAAAACATAAAACTAGTTGATTTATTGTGAAGTTACATATAAAGATATTACCTTCAATTACACAATTATGGGGTCCGGATACTGCTCCGGCTTGAATTTTAATCCCTTCTTGTTTAGATGCAAACAATTCACATATACTTTTCTCAAATTTGGTTTGAAACCAATTGAACCATTTGCAGTCAATTTTATCTCTAAAACAATAAATATCAGAAGAAAAAAGAAATAATTTTGTGGAGTTAGAAAAATTTCAGAAGAAAGGAAGAAAAAAAAAGAGTCAAAAAGAGATACCTGCATTTATCAAGGCATTGTGCTAGGTCTAAATCATCTGTTGAATCAATTTTTTCTTCCTTTCCAGATTTAGACTCATAGATTATCCCATAATCATAACACTCATCTATAAATATGATAATATCAGCCTAGATTCTATTGCTACAAAAAAATATTGTATATTACCTTTAAACTTTGGAGTCTGTTAAAATTTGATGAAAATGTAAATAAGTAAGGAAAAAAATGAGAACCTTCACTTTTAAATTGTTCAAACAAATTTTCAAAATTATTACTAGAGTTGAGAGTTAAAACTGGACATTACAGGGTTTCCATGAAGTGGGTCATAAAGCTTTTATCATTTAAAAAGATCAATAATTTTGTAAAATTCCTTATGTGACAGAGAAACAAAAATTAGTAAGAACATTTTCATTCCCTTAGTAACATCTATTTTCAAGCTTATCTGATTATCTTGGTTCTCTTTCTAAAATAATATTAAGATGCCTTGATTTGAGTGTCTAATATATGATTATGAGTCAAACATGAGATATAGGACAAGCCAGGCAGATAATGATATGGCAAAAAAACACTTTATAATGTCGTACTTTTGTGAAATATTGAAATTAAGCCAATCATGGACCAGATTTAATCCCAGTGCAGTGCAGGATAGGGTCAGACAAGGGGAGGAAGGCCAACCACATCAATCTCTAGTCCGAACCACATTCTCATCATTTTCTTGTCTGAACCACATCGAATTCCTCATCCTTTCAATATTATTTTTTTTTAAATATGGCGACGTTAGGGCATAAAACAAGACTAGAATAAAGTTTTCCACGGATTTTGAGATGTTGGAATCTTCAAATCCACGAGAATGATGTCAAACATTATTTAGGTTAAAAATTGAATCTCTTCTGCCTCCAAAATGGATAACTTTCACAAATAAAAATTTATACCAAAGAATTCGCATGAACATAGTCTTTAATCTTTCCATTTCAACCCATACAAAATAATCATTGATTTCTGATTTATTTACAAAAAACGTAGATTTGTTGTCCCCACTAAGATATCACTACTGCCTTCCGCATGCTTAAAATTATAGAAAAAATAATGTTCAATTTATATATCTCTAACCCAAATTCAGTTTGAATATTACAAAAAGTTGTTTACATCGAGTTTGAGAATGTTTTGCGGCATTNACTAGAATAAAGTTTTCCACGGATTTTAAGATGTTGGAATCTTCAAATCCACGAGAATGATGTCAAACATTATTTAGGTTAAAAATTGAATCTCTTCTGCCTCCAAAATAGATAACTTTCACAAATAAAAATTTATACCAAAGAATTCGCGTGAACATGGTCTTTAATCTTTCCATTTCGGACTAGAGATTGATGTGGTTGGCCTTCCTCCCCTCGTCAGACCATGTACAAGTTTGGCAGAGCTTTCACAATCACTGACATTTGGAAATGGCAAAGATTATTCATATTAACCACAATCTTAGAAATCTCTAACAATTTGTGCATAACTTAAACATTCATAATTTTAAAATTCTTTTTAAATTCATTATTGTGAACAAATTACCATTTTTTTTATAAAAGTAGATGAATTAGAAATGATTATTGAATTCGGCTAAAAAAGTCAAAAACCTGTTGAGAAGTCCAAGCTTCATGTTGAAATGTACAAATAAGAGTTTGTCCCTCCGCCTTGGCCACATCCTTTGCAGGAATGGTGAAGGATTTGTCATGTGTAACCCTTTTGTAATCTAGGCTTATTGTAATATTTTCAGGATATTGGTCAAATGCTGTACATTTAATTTCCATATCGGATCCTTCATACAGTGTCATTCTTGCATCATTTTTGAAATATTTGTAGCCATTTACTTCAACACTGATTTGTGGTGGGTTATAAACAGTCAGCTCTGTTTTTATTTTGTCCTTTATGGCAGTTTTACACACACTTCCTTGCAATTCTATGTTTAGAGTAAGTGTATGCTTTTCAACATCATATGGCACACATTCATTGACAATCTTGGCAGTGTTGCATGGCTTAATGTTCATTAAATGGCAAGTTTTTGGATTTGAAGGTTTAAAAACACCAATATTTTGAAATTGGTTCTTTTCTACTTCAAGAACATTTTTTATTATGATATCCTCATAGTTGCTTGATATAATGACTTCTTCAAATTGTACTGAATTGCGTTTTACATAAACAGATATATTATGATCTTTTGAAAATAACATTTGTGAGCATTCACCAAGGCTTGGTTCAAAATGATACCCGAAATAACTCACTTTTCCTTGAACAAGGCAGGAGGATCTTGTATCCAAAAATTTAAAGGTTATATCATCCGGATTATGAGAATAGCTATTTAATGTAGCAGTGATTTTTGTAATCTTGTATTCCGAGCTTACTTCTCCTCTATCAGTAGTACAGGAGGAGAAGACAAAATTATGTTGGTTTAAAATGTCCCATGCAACACTATTTTGGATACCACTAACTAGTGGAGGACGTAAGGGTGGAGTTAGAGTCAAATTTACTTGAACTTTAGTTTGTTTTATAAACATTTCCTTATCACTGTAGGAGACACATTCTAGAGTTTCTCCATGAAGTTGATGTCCTCTCAGTGTCATGCTTAGCACTTTCCCTGGTTTCCGAAGTAAGTGTTTCCCAATTGATAAAACAATTACTCCTTCAGACTCGGAGGTGCAATTCACTATGATTTCAGGTTCTGTGATTTTCCAAAATATCTTGTCTCCCACCAGAGGTTTGTTGTTGACAAATAGTTCTGGTTTAGTAAGATTTTGATTTGAGATACTTTGCAATCTGAGGGAAACAACAGGATTTTTGATAATTCTGGTTGCCCAATAACTGGGAGTGCATTTGCACTCTCCAAGTTCAATATTGAAAGAAAGAAAAATGTTAGATTGCCTCTTTAGACACAACAACTCACAATTCCATAAATTAGAAGCATTGAAGGTTTCAGTTTCTGAGCTTGTGTATTCAACATAACGTTCAAGTTCAAAATCTAAAATTATTATTCATGGGTAAAATGTTATCATACCCTCTAAATCATNACTTATTTTATTTATTATATTTCATGTAAAAAAAAAGCAGGAAAATTTTAAAGACAACGTTCAAAAACATGTAAACATGTAAAAAAAATCAGCAAAATATATAAGATTTATTTCTTATTTTCCATATGTTTCATGCAATTTTAAGTAGAAAAATTAACAAAAGTCACTGTTATTTTGGAACACATATGTTTGTTAATGGAATTTTTTGCTCATTTCTAAATTTACCGTTTGTTAACAGAAGATTGTCTAACCCTAGCTGGATTATTTATACTTCCATTATTAGAAATTTTATCATGTATTTTAATTTGTTTTTCATGTTAAAAAATATTATACTGCACCTGAATATTTCTTGGCTTTGCAGCATTGGGTCCCATTATTAAACGCTTGAGGATATTCACTTGGACATTTATTCTCTATCTGTTTATTTCTTCCTAAAGGAACTGAGTTCTTGCAAGGAACTCGGATTTTTTTAAATCCTTTTTCTTTGCAACCTGGTAGTGTAAACCTTTGATACTTCAAAAATCAATACTCTACAATATCGGTTGCAATGATAAGGATTGGAAAATTAGATTCAGATTTTGCGGCAAAAACTCATTTCCCTTTACACATTTAGGCAAAAATCATTTATAAACAAAACAATTCTTAATGAAAGTGAATATTTAGTTACGCTGAGACTGCGATTTAAAGCTTCTGCTTGTGTCTTATTTCTTTAGACTTAGGTTTAAGGCTCAATCTTAAACTCATCTTATGAATCAGCTGACAACAGTTTGTGTCATGTGATTGACAGCTTCCAAGTCTTAGGCTTGACTTTAAGAGTTATGCACAATTAAAATAAAACCAAGCTTGGTTGGTTTTAGTGTAGAATTAGTCTCAATTTTGAGTCTTATTCTAATCAAATCCCTCAAATCCGCCAATTCCAACTATGAAAATACAACAAATACAATATTTAACTGGTGTAATACTCCAACTCTGTAGAAAACTAAATCAACCTAAATCCGAAAGCTCAAGTTTTAAATTATCTTAAAGACAGCCTAGACCTAAGTCTTATTTTCCCAAATTTTTAAATTGCGGGCTCTGTATGTTTATCGTGAAAATGAATAAAACCTCAAAAAATTTAAGTTCCTGAATAAAGAAAAAGGCCCCAAACATTAGATTAAGCTACAAAAAAGCCCAAAAATTCAATTACTTAGAAAGAATTTATTCAATGTCGCCTTCCAAGCTATAAATTCTAAAATTAAAAACAGAAAATGTTTAAAAATTTTTAAAGGCAGGTGCGCATTTTGAAAACAAATCAGAGCTCAAGTTTATGGAGGGTTTGACTATATGTTTATGAAGCAGGGAAAAAAATCTTTAACATCTAGTAAAACAAACGACGTCAGCTTTAGCTACAGCGGATATCTTCCGTTGTCTTTAATGTTTGAGTCTAAGAGAATATGAGCAATTTTAATTTCATGTAAAGTGTTCAAATGCGTGCTACCTTGTAGGAAAGCTAGAGGACCAGACAGATGGGAACTAGATTTCTGCAATCTAACCAAACTAACATCTTCCATCAATAAATCACATTTTTTATATTCTTCTTCAAAGCTAAACCAAGAACATTTTGGAGTGTTCCAACATAAGTTCCAACAATTTCTAAATAAATGAAAAAAAGTTAGATACAAAATTAAATTATAAACATTTTGCTCAAAAACAAATACGGGATAGCAGAGAACATTAATTAGTTACAACATTTTGTTTATAATTTTCATATTAAATTGTCCTATTTTAAAAATGCATTCGGTGGTTGGATATCATGAACTTATGTTTATTCTGTAATAGCACTTGAAGCCATAGGAGGATCATTAAACCTAACAAATCATGGTGTACCATGTTGTATATAAAGAATTTTATAAAAGGATTTTTTATTCTTACTTTGAAGAATTAACATTCTCTTGTGTGACAAAGGGTTGTGTTCCAGCAACCTCAACTTTATCAAACCAATCAGCCTCTGGTGGACTGTATACACCTAGGATGTGCAAAAGTAAACACCTAAACGAATCAAAATGATTAACCTCCCTACTGGATGTCATTTACATCAACTCAGCCTGAATTTTGTGCATAAAACGTGATGGATCGTTTCCACTTTTTTAAAAAAACGATCGTTTTGTTTTGAAAACGACGAAGAAAAAACAAAAAAACTTAACGATAGTTTTTTTAAAAATATTTTTTTTTAAAACAGTTGTTTTCAAAAACTACAGATAAACTTTTTAAAAAAATTGTCTTAAGTAAAACTATCGTTTTAGGAAAAAAAAACTATCGTTTTCAAAATCAGTCGTTTTGGAAAACGACCCTTCATCAAAGACCATTAACGACGATATTTTGTTAACAACCGTAAGTAATGACACTTTATTAACGACCGTTAACGACGACCCTTTTAAAGAAAAATACATTTTTTGGTCGAAAAATCCGAGGTCAGAAAAAATAACCTTATTTTTCTAAAATTTTATCATTAATTAATTGTCATTAAACTCATATTTANTTGGGATTCAATGAATGTGAGGATGATAAAAGGGTTGGTAAATCGGGAGTTGGAGTAATTGGGAAGATTGAGTAATGAATAGATGTTCTACGGGGACCACAGTATTGGAAAGAGAATCAGCAAGATATAGAAGTTCAGAACAGAGATACAGATATAATAAAATACGTGTGTAAAGACTATGGAGAATATGTAGTTTACTGGATAAAAATGTTTAATAAGGGGAGAAGACGACATTTTGGAAGGAATTAGTGGATTACTGTTAAGTTGGGATAAGAGAGAGAAAAGAGTATAAAAATCATCATTAGAATCATTCAATACTCTGAAACATATTAAAGGGACTGTACTCGTAATTACAAGTTACCTTTCATTTGAAGATTGAAATAAACAATTCATAGAGGTACCCTATACAAGTGAAAGATATCACTGTTTTTCTTGCTTGAAAAGTGTTTAATTTTGTCTATTTTTTCAATAGCAAGAAATCCGTAAGTATACCTCTGACAGTAAAAAAGCAAACTTAATAAAATTATGGATATCTCATCCATTCTTGATCAGAAAAAGGGCATTGTTGTAAATATGACCACAGGAGGGTAACTTGGAATTATGTCTACAATCCTTAAGATCAAGTATTTTTAAGCGACCGCACAGTTTAAAAACTCGGAACTTTTTGTTTGTAATATCGAAGAATTTAGAAAATACAAACATTTGTTAAAAATTACGGGCAGAGTGTTAGGGATACATTTTTTTGAGATATCCTTAAAGGGACTGTAAGCGTAATTTCAAGTAACATTCAATGCAAAGATGACAATGCCCGATTTACAACAGTACCCTTTAGAGCGTTGTCTGATAAGTTACATTAATTATCAATGTTTATGATTTTGAAAACTGATTAATTTTCAACCAATGTGACTTGCGCATTTCTAATGCAGGAAAACATATAGGATTTATCAGAATTAGACATTTTTTAACCTAGAAAAAACAACTATTGTTGATGAGATAAAGGTTTCAATTAAGGGAACCGTTGTGTTTGGGCGTTGAGATCTTTGTATGGAGGGTTAATTGAAAATAAAACTAATGTCTAAAAAATTCTAATAGTTTTTGAGTTTTGAAAGTTAATTAAAGTTTTTTATTTTTTATTTTATCAAAAAGTTATTACCATCATCAGTTTCTAACTTCCAATTAAACCAGGAGCAGTTTTTAGTTTCCCTAAAACGATTCAAAATTTGTGACTTGTTTGAATGATTTTAAATTGTTTATGAAACAATTTTGTACTTTATCACTCAAGGTGACTTCACAGTAAAATTTATTATAGAATGTGCTATAAAGTAATCATCGGGTAATAATGTTAAATAAGCTGTATAATCTAGTACAGTGCTATAAAGTTTCATTGGTTCCCGGGTTTTTTACATAAAAAGTTTGAATATTACCAGACATTTGTTTTTCTCAAAATTTAAATAAAATGAAAATTAACTTTTTTTAAATTTTATATTTCTGTGATATCTAGAAATATCCATTCCATCAACAAGACATGAACGCAAACATTTCATAAAATTTCATATCACACTATTATTTTGGCACGATGTGTTTTAATAGAACTTTAATAGAACAAAGTGTTAAAAATAGTCATTTTAGCCCAAAACCATTCAAAATGAGGAAACTTGGAAACCAGGAAACATGGAAATCAAAAAAATTTGAAACCAGGAACCTTGGAAACCGGGAAACTTGGAAACCAGAAAACTGGGAAAACAGGAAACTGAGAAGCAAGGAAACTATGAAAGCAGCAAACGTTGAAACTGTAAAAGATATGAAACAAGGAAACTGGGAAACCATAAAACTGGGAAATCAGGAAACTGGGAAACCAGGAAACTGGAAAAACCAGAAAACTGTGAACCCAGGAAACTGGGAAACAAGGAAACTGGGAAACAAGGAAACTGGGAAACAAGGAAACTGGGAAACAAGGAAACTGGAAAACAAGGAAACTGGGAAACAAGGAAACTGGGAAACAAGGAAACTGGGAAACAAGGAAACTGGGAAACCAGGAAACTGGGAAACCAGGAAACTGGAAAAATCAGAAAACTGTGAACCCAGGAAACTGGGAAACCAGGAAACTAGCTGGGAAACAAGGAAACTGGGAGAATACGAAACTGTAACACCAGAAACTCAGGGAATTCGGAAATTACAAAATCAGGAAACTTGGATACCAGGAAATTAAGAAACAGAAAATAATATTTAACAAATTTGTTCTTTATTGAATTTATCATTTTTTAAGCCATTACCTTAACAACAGTGTTTATGTCGTTCATGGCATCTTTCCCTAAATAAGATATTCAGTTGAAAATTCATAATTAAACAGGGGCGCAATTGTGGTTATTTAGGGGGGTAGGGAATCCTTTGAAAAAAGTTATAAATTGAACATTACAATATAATTCTGAAATAGGTTGTGATAATAAAAAATTCACATGTGTCATCTTGTTTAATTTTATTATCGAAGCTTTTTGTTATTAATAACATTTTGTTAGAAAATAAAAACAAAATATTAAATGTTTCTAGTCAAATATAAAATTGTTGAAAGAATTAGCTCATACACTGTGAGAAAAGCATCTTGATGTGAGCGTGTCATATAAAAACTTCTCCTTAGATCGAACATTTTTTTCGAAATCTCTATAAATCTTTGAGAAAGGAATTGAGATTTTGCCACAAATTTTCGAATTCCAATATCTTAGCGACCTGTTGTTGTACACATTTGATATTTCAAACTTAGATAAGTTAACATATTTCATAGTTTGAAATATCTCAGGTCTACGACATTTGGTTGGGACAGTACAAGGACTAGAAAATTAGAGTTTGTTGCAAAGACTCAATTCCTTTTCTTTTAAATATAAAGTCAGACTAACGTAAATATGTTTTAGATTGATTATTATAAAAACTTTTCTGTTATTCTTAAAACTTTTTAGATTGTTCTAAAACTTTTAGATTGAACTAAAAATATGGTAAAAAGTTTGAATTTGAGCCAATTTTAAAAGAATATTCGTCAGTTCTCAATGCTTTCGATCATTTGTTATACCTAACTATTTTTTAGTTTAATCACAAATGACCAAATGCATTGCAAAATGATGCAAATTCTGTTAAAAAGTTTTTAGACTAAACACAAAAGTTCATAGAACGATCTAAAAAAGAGTTAAGAACAATAAAAAAGCTTTTAAACAACCTAAAAGGTTTTTAGAAAAACTAACAAATTTTTAGAATTATCTAAATTTTTTTACGACTGCACAAGTTTCTATTTATGAGAAAAAATCTCAAGGTTTTAAAGAAATATTGACAAAAAATATTCGATGTAAGATAAACCTTTTTACATGACACGGTCATGTCAAAATACTTTTCTTATATTGCATTTTGTTAAAAATAGACTTTTTATTCAAATGAAAGGATTTGAAAGATAAAAATAAGAATGTGAACTCATAAAACTTGCAAATAAAGGTTTTCATAATCATTAACATATTTTTATTATGTAATAATAGTCTGAATATATAATTATTTTTTAGAGATTGTGAACAGAATATTACTTTTAGGAATATTCTAAAAATGATTATATCTGTATGTTTGAAACTGCACAAAACGATTGTTAGGTGTAATCTAATATTAAAGGGATTTAATTTCATGTGACCTTAATCACTTAAAAAGGAGCATCCTAATTTTTTTTTGGACGATCAAGGTCCAAGGATGATGACAAACTTTTCCTTTTTTTATCTACAGAATTAAACGCCTGTAACTGCTGAGCACTTTGTTTGCAAGCTGTTTTATTTTCTGGATTTATTCAGGAATAAATAAATAAATAAATAAATATTCCGCGTTAAGTTCACATAGAGTAAAAATACCATAGCGTACACTAAAATTGCCAGCAATGTAATTCCGCGCAATTCTGCACAATTCCGCGTAATTAAAGCACAATTCTGCGCAACGGAATTCCGATTCAAAACCCTAATTCTGATTGACCAGTCTTCTTTGGAGATATTCAATGGGACTTAATTTGATAAGTTTAGTAGTATACGTATTATGTCGGAACATAAAACTCAGAACTCTGAAATGATAAACATATAAGTTCCGACCGTAGCTTAGGTTTAAAATGCTCACCTTCCATATTCTTGAATATCAGGAAAAAGAGAAGAATGAAGATTGTTTTTCTCATTGTTTCTACAACAAGGATACAGTTACTTTTGAACTATGCTAAACTTTTTATAACAGAAATTATGATCAGATATTTAGGGATATATAAACACAAAATATAAAAAAAAATTATAATATTCTCATATTCTGTTAAGTCTTTGCCATAAGCTCTGATTTTATAATCACTACATCTGTGCAACCCAATGTCGTAGACCTTACTTATTTCAAACTCTATTTTTTAATATCTTTAACCTGATGGCTTAAAGCTTTCAACCTGATGGGTTGACTTATAGTTTGTATAACTCCAGCTAGGACTATTTAATCTAGAAGAAGTCATAGTTCGAAATATCAAGGTTTAGGTGGCAATGATTTTTAGAAAGAAAGAATATTCGATTTTTTGGCAATTTAAGTTCTAACTCAGATCTTTTACAATAGCATTTAAAAAACAAACAAAATTTTAGTGCCGTGAGATTGTTTAATATTGATTCAACAAATTTTTGATTAAGTTTGATTTTGACCTATTATGAAAGAACTGTGTTTAAAGGGCGTGACTACCTAGGTATTGTAGTTGATCTGAGAGTGTAGAGTTTTAAATAGAAAAATATCAGGTTTTATTTGATCAACAACAAAGTTGTTTATAGAAGAACTTATATTACGTTTTTCGTCCGGGTTAGTAAATGATTTTGAAAAATCCGATCTAAAGAGCAGGTCTCATGATTTCGTCAAATATAAAACACATCAATCCTGATATTTTTCACAATAATCAGTTCAACTACCAAACCTATAGTCAGTCTTTTCCTTTAAAAAAGATTTTGTCAAAAGTACTTTTTTGGTGCAAATCGGATTTTCAGAAAAGAAAAAATTTATTTCAAATTAACTTTTATTCGTTCTCAACTATAAAGCTTGCTTATACAACTATTTTACATAGAAATTTAGGTAAAGGATATGTTAGAAAAAGAGAAAATAAAAAGTATTTAAAAGAATAGCGGTAATGAGATTTGAATTTTCAACTAATGTTTTCCTGAACAGGAAATCCGGTTTTTTCAAAAACCCATCGTTCTTCGTAACATTTTAATATTTAGACTTATGATAATGTTAAGCTTTTCTGGTAGGGGGGGGGAGCACCACTCCATTAGCGCCTGATCCAATCTGGGTTCAGTCATGTGTTTGGTGTCTATTCTGAACCAATAAAAAAATTGCATGGCGGTAACATATCTATCTTTCTATCTAGCTCATTATCCAACAGAGATAAATCCTTATATCGGCACTATAACAGTAAATGGAAATATTTACTTATACTCAAACTATAGTGGCACACGGAGTAAAAAGTGGTAGAAATGTCATTAATATGACTCTGAAAAATAGATATTAAAAAAAGACATGAAATTCTGATACACTTGTTGATATTGATAAATGTCAAAACAATGACACAAAAACATGAAAGTTTGCAAAATAAATTAATAAATTTCTGTGATGTATATATGCAATTATAAATATGTAAATAAATGTAATTATGTTGTAAGAATGACTTTATTACTTTGGGTGATAATAATTGCACGTGCATACAATTATATAAGGCTTACTCTGTATATTGAGATAGCTGAAGTATAGTAATGCCAGGTTGCAAAGATATTAACGGCGCATGAGGGTTAGGCCCGAGTGATAGGAATAACCCGATCTGCAATGTCTTCAGGTTGCACAGATGATAGATTAAACAAGTTGGATAACTTGAAGTGAAATCTCATCAAAGTGTCAATTTAAGTTTGCTAATTTGTTGCATAAGTTTAGTAGTGCGAGAATACTACAGTGTTACGAATTCCATTGTTTAAGTAAAACTAAAACAAACCTTTATCTTTATCTAAGGAAGGGGATAGTTTTAAAAACAATTTTAGGAACAATTTTCGCTTTCAAATTTTGAATTTATAATATTTGATGTAAAATGAACCAAAAAACGATTTTTGCAAGTTTAAAAAATTCGTTTAAAGAAAATCTGAGATACAATTTTTTCTTGGGAACTTGCAACAACGATCCCCACCCCTATCTTCTTATCTCATATACATGTAAGTCATACATACTTATCATAAATAAACAAGGAGCTTTTCGTTTGATATTTTTTATACTTAGCATATATTCATTCATATATACATCATATATTCCACTGCAGGGATGCAGATTTATATCCTCTGGGTTTATAATTCCACTGGAGGGTTTTTTAAACTTGCTATTTACAAGATGAAACTTTACACAGGGTGAGTTACATTCCACTAGAGGGATTCAGATATCCATCCTGGGGGTTTATAATTCCACTGGGGGGATTCGGATATCCATCCTGGGGGTTTTATATTTCCACTGGAAGGATTCGGATATCCATCCTGGGGGTTTATAATTTCATTGGAGGGATTTGGATATCCATCCTGGGGGTTTATAATTTCATTGGAGGGATTTTGATATCCATCCTGGGAGTTTATAATTCCATTGGAGGGATTCGGATATCCATCCCGGGGGTTTATAATTCCACTGGAGCGATTCGGATATTCATTCTGGGGGTTTAAAATTCCATTGGAGGGATTCCGATATCCATTCTGGGGGTTTATAATTCCACTGGAGGGATTCAGAAATTCATCCTGGGGGTTTATAATTCCATTGTAGGGATTCAGAAATCCATCCTGGGGGTTTATAATTCCACTGGAGGGATTTAGGATATCCATCCTGGGTGTTTATAATTCCGCAAGAGGGATTCGGATATCCATCCTGGGGGTTTATAATTCCACTGGAGGGATTCGGATTTCGAAAAATTTACCAAAAAACGAAAAGTTTTTGTTTTAGAGTACGTGTATTTTACGAAAAATAGGCGTATTTACGAACCGTTGGTGAAATTCGTAAGTAGGTAAACAGGGTACATTTATACAGTAATTTAACTTTAGGAACATTGAATAGACTTTACATTGGTTTTTGTTATTCTGTCTGAAAAATCGTTATTTTAAATAGTGAATTTATGTAGGACTGACAGAGAGGGTGCCAAGCCTTCATGGTGAAATCGGTCCAATTCTCAAGCTACTGTGCAGTGCCTTTGCTTCGCGGTTTCGTGCAACCGGGTGACTGTTCAAGCATCGTAAACGGAAGAAAATTTTTCGAAAATTAATGTAAGAGTCTGTTAATGAACGGCAAAAAGCGTTAATTTTTAAAACGTTAACAAAACGGATATGCAGTTTTTGAAAAATATTAACGGTTAAAAACAAAAATGGTGAATTTCGTATTTTTTTCTGCTCAAAATTGCATGAAACTTGTGTAAGTATTTTTTTAAAAGTATTTAATGTTTTTAAATGTTGTTTTCTGTGTTCACAATTATTAATGATTTCATAAACTGTTAAAACAATTTATTTTTTTGGTGCTTTGTGCCATAATAATGTAATAGGCAGCTAACGATTACATTAACCATTAAAGTTTTTTTTGCCGCTTCGCGCCGTTAATTCTGTAATAACGGTACCATTAACGACTGGAGCCCTTAACGTTGTTGAAAATTTTCCGTTAACGCCATTATTAAAATTGAGATCGTTAACTAACGGTAACTTTTAACCAAAAAACCATCAACGAAACGACTTCAAAAATTTATGTAGCATAGACTAGGGAAAATGTAATGTTTAAAGTATAAAGGAGAAACTTACAGAATTACATATTTTCTTTTTCCTCTAAAAAATCCTACGTTTTTAAAAAAAAATTAGAGTAGAAATCTGTAGGAAGTGTTTAAAAAATTATAATCTATTATTTGTTATGATTTCAAAAATGCAAATGGTTGGTTTAAATTTTCTTTTATCTCATTCAATTTTTGATGAAACTTTGGAAAACAATAGAAAAAACATTTTTCAACAATTTAAAACAATAAAATTTCTTTAAAAATTTGTTTTGCGGATTTTTTTTTCTTTGCTCCAAAAATATTTGTGAAATTTTTGTCACATTTAATTTTTTGAAGAAAATCCGAAGAAAGCAAAAAATGTGATAGGTAAAAAAACTCGGCCCTTTCCAAACAACCACTTGAGGAATACAATTATATCATTTGGTATTTCATCAAGTGGAGCTCTCCAGAATTTAAAATTGTTTTAACAAACTTGGAGAAAACGATATTTTTTATACTGAATAAACAAATNAATGTGATAGGTAAAAAAACTCGGCCCTTTCCAAACAACCACTTGAGGAATACAATTATATCATTTGGTATTTCATCAAGTGGAGCTCTCCAGAATTTAAAATTGTTTTAACAAACTTGGAGAAAACGATATTTTTTATACTGAATAAACAAATTTTGAAAAGATATTTTTAAAAACCTTTAGTTTTTTTTACTAAACGAATGATTATTTGGCACAAACATTTAAAAAAACTAAAAATTTTTTTCCTGAAATGTTTTATTGAATGAATGATTCTACTGAAATAATTTTAATGGGAGTGTTCGCGAAAAATGAAAGGGGGTCTAGGCTAAATGCGATAAAAAAACGCTATTGATCGCTTCTAATCTTACTTCTATCTGTTGCGTCTATAAGGAGAAAATTGTTAAAAACGACTAATACCGAGGAACGTAGTATCCATACAAATTCAGAAAGATGCAACATACGACTTAGACCGTAAAAAAATCTATTTAATTTCAAACAAATCAGCAGATTAACAAAAGATCAAGAATCTCGATATCAACAATACAAGAGTTCCCAGACAAGATACAACTACATACATTCTAATATTTTCAAAACTGTAAACAATTATACGGATGAATTAAAAAAATAAAACATTAAATAAAAATATCAGCGAATCTGTTTATCCTTACTTATGAAAATTTAAAGGAGTCCTAAAAGCTCTTGCACTAACGCATTGAAGTACTAAATATTCTCACATCAATGGCTATGGCAAGATTATAACAATGCTTCTACTCTACTGAAGATTAAATGCCTATTAACCCATTTTCTGATCTTTTTTTTGAGTATTGAGATAAAAGATTTATTTTGAAACGAAATCATAAAAATATATTTATAAAATAAAAGTCAAAGTTTTATGTAGCATAACAAATTTAAAAAATGGAATTCCAAGCTTTAATATGTCATCACAAGTTTCTAGCTGTAATTTAAAGCTTAAATTAAACATCACAAGGTTCTAAATGTAATTTAAAGTTTAAATTAAACATCACAAGGTTCTAAATGTAATTTAAAGTTTAAATTAAACATCACAAGGTTCTAAATGTAATTTAAAGATTAAACTAAACATCACAAGGTTCTAACTGTAATTTAAAGTATAAATTAAACATCACAAGGTTCTAAACTGCAATATAAAGTTTAAATTAAACATCGCAAGTTTCTAATTGTAATTTAAAGTTTAAATTTAATATCACAAGAGTTAAAATTAAACATCACAAGTTTCAAGATGTAATATAAAGCTTAAATTAAACATCACAAGTTTCAAGATGTAATTTAAAGTTTAAATTAAACATCACAAGGTTCTAAATTGCAATACAAAGTTTAAATTAAACATTACAAGTTTCTAAAATGTAATTTTAAGTTTTAACTCAACATCACAAGGTTCTAAAATCTAAGTTCTAACTCAACATCAGGTTTCTAGATGTAATTTTAAGTTTAAAATAAACACCACAGGTTTCTAGAATGGAAGATCTGAAAACCCTTTGACAGGGCGAGGCCAGGTGACCCAGTAGGTTAAATTCGCTTCAATTGAGTTGGAAGCTTCTGCAGGATCCAGGCTTACAGCTGATTTTTCAAACTCGACAGCTTCTAAAACTAAGGCGTCTTCTTTATACAATACTTCAGCATCTAATACTCCCCCTTCTTTGACAGAAGCTGCTTCTTTACATGCTTTGGCATCAAATGCTGCTCCTTCATTACATGCGTCAGTATCAAATGCTTCTCCTTTGTCAGAAGCTTCTTTACATGCTTCTGTACCAAATGCTGCTCCTTCTTTATCAGAAGCTCCTTCATTACATACTTTAGTATTAAATGCGGCTTCTTCTTTGTCAGAAGCTCCTTCTTTACATGCCGCTCTTTCTTTACCTGCTTCTGTATCCAGTGCTGCTCCTTCTTTAACAGAAGCTGCTTCTGATCTTGTTTCTGAGCACATGTTGACTTCTTGGAACGCTGTTAAAACTTCTTCAATTAGATTCTTGTCCATAGAGTTAACTACATTCGTCTGAATTACAGAATAATCTAATCTATAAAATTCATCGCCATTCTTGAGGTCATCCTGTCCATGGCCATTCTGTCCATCGTGATCATCCTGTAAATCATGATCAGTATTATGCTCTGGACTGGCAAGATGAAATCTTACAGATTTTCTAGCAATATCCTTCATGCTTAATCTTATATTACTCAATCCTTGAGTATTCGTACATGGTGTACATAAATCCATACTCGTAAACCTGTTATCTGTGTACGGAGTACACGGATCATGAATTACTGATTTGATCTCTGCAAAAGGTGTACATAACTCCATACAGCTGCTTGTTCGTCTATAGGTGTCAACATAAGGCGTACATAGATCCATGTTACTCAGTTTTGTACATGAAGTGTACGGGGTACATGGCTCGGTAGTCAGCGGTTTCTTATAACTCCCGGTGTTGGGTGTACATAATTCCATCCCGCTTATTCTCCTATTAGTACATAAATCCATGTTACTCAGTCGTTTTGTACATGAAGTGAATGGGGTACATAGCTCCATTCCACTAAATCTTCTATTTGTACCAGGTGTACATGTACTTAATGTCTTCCCTGCCGGTGTACATAGTTCCATAGAACCTGTAAATAGTTCCATGGAGCCAAAGTTTCGTTTTGTGCAAGTGTACATCGAAGTTGAGATTGGTGTACCAAACTCGTTGGAGAAATACCTCCTCCTAAAAAATCGGAATTATTATTGGTTCTTCAAAATTAATATTCTTCCTTAAGTTTAAAGTTGTTTGCAAGTATGACTTAGTGGAAATATATTTTACAAGATTTTGAAATATCAATACATAATTTTTTTTAGAAAACTCAAAAAGTTGGTTTAAGAAACTCAACAAGCAATCCGAGGTCCTTAGTTGATATATTACCTAGAATGTAAATCACCAGGGGAGTGCTGTTTGGACGACAAATCTCGAATACCATTCTAGAAAAAAGTCTCTTTTTTTTACAGTTCATAGACATTGAATTAATGCTTAGGATCCGGATCCAAATCCGTTTGATCCGCAACAATTAACGGATCCATGGATCCAGGTCAGAGGGGGGGGGGGGGATAAAAACCATTCATGGGGGTCAAGCGCTGCAGTTAATTAAAACACGATCGGAGACCTAGTGTTGAAAGCGGCTAGGGGACATAGTGTCGAATTGAGAAAATACCAAAAATTGTAATTCCGAAATTTGTGTTTCAGAATTTTAGAAAAAATCTTCGATTTTTTGTATCAGTTTAAGTAAAATATCATTTCCGAAAGTGTGGAGCGGGCGGGGGGTTTATAATTTTTTTTGTTTCCTACCTCATAGGGTGTGCACATATCCATGAAGTCTGGAGTTAAAGAAGCTTGTCCAGTCCTCCCTCTGACATCCTTCATTCCTACTATTCATGGAGATAATATTTACATCCAGGGGTGTATACTGTATCATATGTTAAAAAATAATTAAAGGGACTGTCTTTGTAACTTGTAATCTCACGACATTCTCGTTTTTGTAAACTCTCAAGGTTATCTGAGATGTTTATAATATTGCTTTGTATTTTCTCTCATTACTTAGCGCAAAATTAGTTTTCCGACCAATTGTAAAATTGATTCGTTTGTTATCTATGCATCTATTTAGTATATGCATAATAAAGGCTAAAAATGCTGAATTGCCGGGACCCGCCCTGCCCAGGTTACTCATAGTCACTCACGCTGTTTACCCGCACTTGGTTGATTAAATGAGAAACTAAATTTTAGCGAGAAAAATCAATCCACTCAGCTTAGAATTCCGAAACCAAGCTAAGAACATCCCCGTGGTCCTCTCAAGTTCCCCAATCAAAATTTGAGGCAAATCAGTCAAGGCCCAAGGGGTTCCTGAGTTATGATCGAGAATACAAAAACATTACTATTTTATATATATGATACATTAGTAATCATTGTCAGTCCCGCTGTTTACCGGCGCTTTGTCGTAAACTACGGAAATCGGTCTAGGGGTTTATGAGTTATGATCGGACTTACAAACACACAGACAAATAGAGATATATATACATATAAATATCAGTTGAAACGCAACAATCTTCTTATAACATTTTATTCATAAACAAATTGTTTCATGCTTTTATGCAATCATCAGTATGAACATATAAATATATATATGAAGAAGTAATCCTTGCTTGTCTGTGTTTGTTTGTATGTTAACTCCTTGACCAATTTGCCTCAAATTTTGATTAGGGGACCCATTAGAACCATCAAAATGTTCTGAGCTTGGTCAAATTAAAAATGGGCCGACTTATAGAGAAAGGCTAGCTTCCAAGCAAAGCTAGGTTCTCAGCAAGTGAAGTAATACAAGCAAGCAAATAATTATAGATTTTGCTTTAAGTTAAGCAATAAGCATCTTATAATTCTTTTGGAGCCTCTTTAAAACCCAAAACCTTGAATGTTCAAAACACGGACATGAGATGTATTGATTTCAAATACCTGGGGTTTGATAGTTTCCGGAATCAACCCGTTTCCGGGTTTCCGCGGTTTCAGGTTTTTTGAAATCTTGTTCTTGCTTTTGCTGCGTGGAAAGAAGTAGTACTGGTTCTAAAAATAAAAAGCTTGAAAAAAGCAGTAAAAAATTCAATAAAACAACTTTTATTTTTAAGGAAATTATTTCTATATAATAAAGCTCTTCTCTCATATATACGACTAAACGGCTGGCTGGACCAAATTGGTTGACATTTTTCTAGGAAACCCTGGCCTCGGGGTAACATAGGCTGAAAAGCCATTTTTTTATATGAATCAATTTTTTAATGGATACAATAAATTGAGGGTGCAATAAGAGGGGGTGGGGAGGGGGCATTATTGAGAACTAGTTGAGAAATACCTCTTAATTGATAGAAGAGTTTGATATAAATTTGAACACCACGCTTGGTTTCTGGTACACATGTAGGTACAAACACAGTTTCTAAATTATAAAATAGGTGGAACAAGTTTCTAAATAAAAAAATAGACAGAACAAAGACTCGTTATTATTTTAAAAAAAAGGTTTAAACACACCTTTTAATTTAAAAAAAAAGTTCTTTAAAACTGTTTCCGCATATTTCATAGGTATTTATCTGTGTTTACAATTACAGAGATTTAGGTATAGAGTGTCCCACGAAACATGACAGTTAGTGAATAGTTTAAAATGACTTCTTCCATGATTTGTTAAGTTGTTTGATATCAAAGATGATGATTAAAAATACTGAAAGGCATTAATATTACAGTAAAATTGATTTCAGACAAATATATATTTAAGTAACGAAATAAATTGCAAAAAGTCTTGAATAACTAATGCAGTTTCATGGAAGAAGACATTGAAAACTATTCACCACCTGTCATGTTTCGTGGGACACCCTGCATAATAATATAAAACCCGTTGAAAAATGGTCACGAAGACACTTCTTAAAAAAAATTTCTAAGTCTCAAGATATGGGTTAACTTGTATGTAAAAAACAGACCTGTGGGTTTGATCGATTTCTTCTCTATAGATAGAAACAAGTTTTTCACAGGAGTTCGCTCAGAACTTAATCTAGAAAAAGAAATAACTAAGAATTTGAGACTCTTCGTGCCACTTTTGTTTACAATCAAGTTTAAAATGAACATTATTATTATAGATTTTTTTCGTACACAAAGGTAAAATAAAATGAAAATAAACAAAACCAAAAAAAAGTATAGGTATACTAGGTAGAAATTCAAAATAGTTTAGCTATATATTTGTCGGATGGGAAAATACAACAGGTATAATTGGACAGACAAATTTGACTATATCCTAGGTCAGATAAATAAATAGATACAGAAAGAGGCTCATCGTCTTTTCTTTAACAGACGTAATTAAAATTGACATAATTCAACATGTTTAAAGAGTTTCGCGATAATTCGCTGATTTTCGGAGTATGGATAGACAAAAGACATGCTTTTTGTACTATTTATTTTTAAAGTCATCCCAATTGTGCACTGTGCAGTACACTTGGGAACTGGTTTATATTTGTAAACAATAAACATCATATTGCGATTACCTAGTACAAACTTCATAGCAATATTGTCAGTTAACTTTATTTACGGTTTCGAGACTTTTTTATTATATCCCCTAAGCGTCATAGGTATGAATGATATTTGCAATTATTATTATATATTCTTATAAATCTTGTAACCTATCGAATTATCATGCTAATGTTATGTTTTTTTTCAGTATGAAGCCACCAGTTTGAGATGAATGAATATAGAAGATTGTTTCTCCGTTCTTCATAGCCGTGTTGGGGATAAGTTTTCACGATGGTTGCGAAACAAAAGACCAGTGCTTAGGATCCGGATCCGTTGGATCCCCAAGATTTTGGCTTCCTGGATCCGGATCCGCAAAAATATGCGGATCCACGGATCCGGATCTAAGGGGTAAAATATCAACCAAAAACTGCAAAAAACCTTTTTTAATCCTAAAACCAAAGTCTGAACTTTTGAAAAAAAGAGATTATAAAAATTTCCTACTTTCTGAATGGTTCATCAAGTTTTAGGATAAAAATATTCGAAAAAATAAAACAAAAAATTTTAAAATTATTTTTTGTTAAAAAAATTCAGTAATACTTATAGAAATGACCTGGATCTGGATTCATTTTTTCCAGTGCGGATTCAGGATCCGCATCAAAATTAAATGGATCCTAAGCACTGCAAAAGACAGAAAACTTTTATCCTAACTATTGCCCAGAAAANCACATGAAAATACGCTTACAATCACTTTAGTCAAAGGTATTCTCACCTAAAAATATTCTCGTCTGTAACTAGGGTTCTGAACAGTAATGATCCAGGTCTGAAATAAATATGTATTCTAAAACTCGAGGGCAAAAACTTATCTGGAATACTCCCTTGGTGGCGGTTCGATCTTTAACGCTGCCGAAACCGTTTGTAATAATAAATAACTCTCGCTTTAAGGAGATAAATTCGTCAAATTAAACATCATAATGTGGAAAACGATAAGTTTTGCCCAATAATCATTCTGTCATTCTGTTCTAGCCACAGACCTTGGCACAGATTTTGTCTTAACTTAGTGAAGTCTTAACAGCCCAAGAATATGTAATTGGCGCGTTTGTCCCAAGACAAAAAGTAATTTCTAAAGAAAAATTTTTTTTTGAAAGAATATTTGAACCTATGAAATAAGGTACCTGGAGGCAGGGTTCGGCGTAGGAGTAAACGTCTCAGGTAGGAGAAGAATATAAGAGATCTTAGGGGATACAGGAGTAGCTCCGATATTGAACCTGGAATATTAGCATCAGTCTTGCATTCAGGGGTGTATAATGTATATCTTCTCATATATTTATTCGAAACCCTGTTTGAAAATCTCACCCCCCCCCTCTGGGGTTATATTCGCTGAATTGGGAAATACGGATTACTTTGGGGGTAGAAAAATATTAAAAGAAGGAAAAAACTTGCCTACAGTATTAATGTTTAATTATTCATCCCCCCAACCCTCCCCCCAAAATCATCAAAATTCTTAAAACAATACACCCCCTACTTATGCATCAATGTTAACAAGTTTAAAAACTGATAATTTGTGGTTTCTCTACAAAAGTGACTAGCGCATTTCTTGTACATTTTTCTTTTATTTATGTACGAGCAAAGTAAGGGGTTGGGGGGGAAAAATAAAGAAAAAATGGGAAAGGGGGAAAGAGAAGGGGAAAAGGAAAACATGAAAAATCGAAGGGAAAAGGGAAATAAAAAATAGAACTTTTACCTGCTGGTTTTGGTATGCAAGATTTTATTGGGGCGAAAATATGATATTTGGAAAAAAAATGAAATATATACCGCAGTACATTCATTCAAACAGATTTATAATTAGTACTGAATTACCTGATGGAAACTATATCTTGTAATTCTTCTTCTATCATAGTGGTCAGTCCAGCCAGCATTTCTTCACATTCATCTTAATAAATATAAATTCAAAAAACATAATTGATATAATCTCAGGACCCCCTCTCCTTTGCCCTTTAAAACCACTAAGCCCCGTTCCCCTTTCTATTTTCAGTTTCCCTCCAAATGTCCGGTAAACTTCCACAAAGCGTATTTCAGGGGGTTACTCGCTGAATTTAGGAAAACTTGCACGCCTATTTTTGTGCAATTCTTTTTATCAACCCAAAACATCCCAAAACATATTTTAACAAGAAAACTCGGGAAAATAATAAGAATAAAATTAACTAACCTAGGAAGTGTGAAACTTTCTTGAGATATTTCTCCTCTAACCTTTTCTTCTTTCTATGTTCTAGCATCAAAATAAAGGTTTTAACAAGTTGACAGATCAAAGCTTATGAAATTTAAATCTGTGGATAATCTTTAAAAGTTTAGGAGATTAAAACCAGCCCCCCGCCCCCTTTTCATCATATCTGTTCGGTTCCATACTAGTAATCCTATCGTGCAAGAAAACATCTTTGGTAAAGAATACATCAAGATTATTTCATCTCGTTTGAAAATGTCTATTATATCATTTCTTTACTCATAGATTTTCATATTTTCCTTTGTGGATTTGTAATATATTTCACGAATTACACTAAACCTCAATTTAAAATTTAGCTTTATGAATGTTCAGTTTGTTTTATACTGCTTAACTTAGCAAATACATCTTCTCAAACTTTTTGGAAAAGTTTTATTAAGGTCTTATAAGGTCAAAAAGTAGCAAGTTCAGTTTCCAATCCATATTTTTATTGAATAAAAAACCACAATGTGTATGGCATAAAAAACATCCACATTGTGTATGGCATAAAAAACATCCACATTGTGTATGGCATAAAAAAACATCCAGATTGTGTATGGCATAAAAAACATCCACATTGTGTATGGCATAAAAAAACATCCACATAAATTGAATTTAGAGCTGTAATTTTCATAATGGTTCGGGTTTAAATTATTCCTTTCTGCTCTCTTAGTATTATTCTAATATTTGTTGTCTCAGCCAGGGGTGGAGGTTCACGTACTGCATCAGCTGAATGTTTATCAGAAAACCGGTTTCTGTCCTAACAAACAAAATTTTTTAAATTTAATTTTTTTTCTTTCGATTTTGAGTGTGAATACGTAATTTCCAGTGACCCAACATGAGTGAAAACTCGATTCACAACAGTACCCTTTAAACCAGTGTTTCGGATCCATATAATTTTGATTCGGATCCGGATCCGCGGATCCGCATCCGTGATGATGGATCCGGATCCGAATCCGAGGTAACTTTTGATTCTGTGAATCGGATTTTCCCTATTAAATGTTATGCAAGGTTATAATTTATAAAATATTTTGAAAAATTTTCGTCATGTAAAATGTAAATAATACATTTACGAACCATTTTGATTTATTTATTCCATGGTTTTGGTTAATTTTTGGCGCTACCCGGATCCATATCAACGTTTCCTGATACGGATCCGGATCCGACCAAATGATACGGATCCGACCGGATCCGGATCCGAAACACTGCTTTAAACATCCCCAACGATCGACATTTTTTTTTTAATTGGAAACTATTAGTGTCACAATTTTCCCTCTGAGGCTCTGCAGCCATATTTCGCAACACCACGATTTTGTTAAATATAAACATCAGCTAAAAAATAAGTACATCTCATTCATCCATGCTCGAGCAAAAGTTAAGGGTACTTTTGTAAATCTTACATGCCGCTTTATTTACAGAGAGCTGTTTCTAAAACATTAAAAGGGGAGTCGGGAGGGAATTTTAATTAAATATTGAAATATTTTTGTTTATACCTGAATTAGAAGATCGTATCTCTTCGGTATTTGGTTTTGTTGAACAAGAATATATTTGAGAAGATCTGCAGACAGTCGGCAAACATCAGAGCTTAAAATATTAAATTTAAATTAGTTTGTTTTAAAGATTTTTGGAAAACCTTCAATTTAATAAAAAAAATCCCCGAACATATTTATATCTTGGAGGACTCACAAATGGCTGAATGAAAATAAACATCTAAAAGCTAACATTCTTTCATGAATGAGCTTTCCATATTGTAGGATTTTGAAAAGGTGAACCTTTTAGATACGGACATGGTAAGATTTAAATTTGAGATTGCAATTGCTCAGTGATCTACCTTCATTGGACAGGGAAGACATATTTACGCATGAACTAACTTAAAATAACCCGTTTTTAAGATTTAAATGCCTGATTCACAACAGTATATACTATCAATTATCAGGAGAGATTTTGTCGTTTTCCTATGGTTACGATTGAAAGACGATAATTTCTCTAATAACTGAGGCCGAATTTAAAGAATTTGAGCCGTGCATTAAATATGGTTGAATTCGCTTAAAATTGTTATTAATTTTTCAAGATTTAAGCCGGTGCTCAATTAAAACCGGTTTTTGGCGGATTTGAGGTGCGGCTCAAATTTATTATTTAAATTCGAACTCTGGTATCTTGAATCTGGTTAAGAGACTAATTTCATCAATTTTAGTTCACATCTTTCAAGCATAAATCTGAAAGTCTATGTCATAATAAACGAGCAAATTAGATGAACATTTTACAGAAAGAAAAGCAAGAATATCTCCATGATAATTGGGTACCTTCGTAAACTGTGCACATACGTGAATAGTTGATTTAAATTTTGCCAACTGTCCCTTTTACTAGTTGCTAAGGACCCCCTTACCTATGCAGTAAATGAGGCAAAGGAACCCCAACCTCTATTTGTTCCCGACGAACAACCATTTTAAATCTAAAAAATGAAAACATCAAAATAATTTTGAAGTCAAGTTGGAGGGAAGGGTCATGGGCGGGTTGGAAGGAGGGGTGGGGGGGGGACAGAGCACTCGATTCTTGAAGTATACAGGACTAGCACATTTGGCAGCTTTATTATGAGGGTCATTTTACATCTAGGAGTCGACAGAAGTGAGCACTCTTTCCCCCTTTATCACAATTAACTTGTATCGTACTAAAACTATATCTACAGTTTTAAGTTTGGGGGAAAACCATTTCATTTTATTTCTCAAAGAATTTTTTTTGTAAAAAAAGGAATAAATAAAAAATGGCTAAAAAGCTATATGCTATACGCTATGCTACATAGCGTACAAATAGAACAGGACAAGTTGTACACATGGATATATATTTTCAACAATCAAACACGTTTATTCATGACATCACATGACCATAAATTATTATAAACGTTTTAACGAGGGGATGAATTTTTGCCAAAATATATATCCTAGGTTGTTCAGAGGCCCATTTTCAGCTGTACATTTAGTAATCACAATCACACATAGTTATGTACACATTAAACCTTTATTAACCTATGCAGTACATTAAATGTTACTACAAGATATTTCATGTACATGAGGTGTACAGTGTACAGTACAGGGTCCAGGTGTTTAGTTATCCTTGGCTAGAATAACAGTATGCTGTCCCCCGCTTGAAACTGCTATTACACTTCTATTCTCCAGTTGTTTGGACCTAAAAACATTAGGCATTATCAATATTGGATCTGAGCCGACCGTCCACAATTTAGTACATTGCTAGCAAAAAAAGCAAAAACTCAATCAATATAAATGTATTAGTCGAAAAAAATCTTGGTTTTAGCATTTTTAGCAGTGCTTAGGATCCGGATCCGTTGGATCCGCAAGTGGTAAAATATCAACGAAAAACTGCAAAAAAATCCTTTTTTACTCCAAAACCCCAAATCTGAACTTTTGAAAAAAGAGAGATTATAAAAATTTCCTCATTTCTGAATGGTTCATCAAGTTTTAGGATAAAAATAAGCGAAAAAAATAAAACCAAAAATTTGAAAATTTTTTCCAGTGCAGATCCAGGAACCGGATCCGCATCCGCATCAAAATTGAATGGATCCTAAGCACTGCTTTTTTATGAGCTGAACTACTATTCGAACAAGTTTCTTTAAAAAAAGAGGGACAAACTTCGGAATTTTTAATGGCTTAAAGAGATTTTCAACACAAATTCAGGCGACTTCATTTATATTTTCTAGAGATAGAAAACGACATAATCCAGCTTATTTCTACTCTCATTGTGGGTTTAAAAGGGTTGAGAACCAGGATTATACAATTTATTTGAAGGACAAGATAAAAGTTAAGTAGTTTCTTTTAGATGATGATGAGAACTTGATGACTTACTTGATGAGGTTTGGAACTAAAACGTCGTCTTCACCATGTCCCAGCTGCATATTCGTTCCCATACCCCAGGAGTAACAGTGCCCTGACAAAAACATTTATATTTTATGGGGTTTAAAAATATTGAATTACAGTGTTTGTCTACAACACCTGAGGTCGGATTTAATGAACAAGAAGATTGATGAACTAGTTAAGATTAGTTCAACTAGTTTTCTGATGTCCTTAAACTAGTTAATCAATCAAAACCTTTTTGTGGCTAATTATTAATTCCGACTTCTTGGACTCGATTTCTTGCTTTGTCGCCAAATCGTGTAGATACTTGCTAAGTATCACAATCATTGATTAAATGAGTCAAAATCAGTATTTTTTCAATGTTTTCTACTACACTTGCAGGAACTGTAAAGGAAAAATAGAATGAAACCTGAGAATCTCAGGCGTTGAACATTTACATATACATATAAAACATCTATCTCATGTTCCTGTCTCGAGAAATTGATATAAAACTGACAGTGTCAAATTTATGCGAAAATTTTGTATAAAAATTATAGTATTAAACAAATCTTATTCAACAAATACGCAACCAATCTGAAAACGACGATATCCCACAGGAGCCTGAAAATCTCAGGTTTGCTCCTATTATAATTTTTTTATTTTGCAATTTTAATAGATAAAATTATTACATATAGTTCGTATTGTCGGTATTACGTCACCAGAACTTCAGCCAATGGCAGTGCAGTATACTGGTCACGTGATTTCCTTCTAAATTTGACACAGTTTATATTTATTTCTGGAGACAGGAACATCTGATAGATTTTTGATATGTATCGTTTAACGCCTGAGATTCTCAGGTTTCATCCTATATCCCCTTTCATTTTTCCTTTACAGTCCCTTTAAAGTCG